CAGCGCGGTGCCGCAACGTCCCGTATCCAGTTACAAAGACCACAGAGGTACCAATTAGGCTTTAAGTACAGGTTTTAAGTACTGAGCTGACACGGAAGTATCATGGAGACAAACAGCAAACAAGCACAGCTCAGCCACTGCTAAACCATCGTCATCCTCTAAGGCTTCATGACTGCTCACACAAGAACCTAGAACTTCACGACTCGAGGCCTGTCCTATTTCTCAAGACGCAAAATCATCTCTGTTCAGGTCCAAAGCATGGAGCCCAGAACTCTCCCGGCACAGCCACGCCACGTGGCAGCAGTTACGGCGAGGTTCTGTACCCCAGAGTGGGAAAAACCCACTGCAATTCAAATTAAGGTCCATAAAACTAAGTTCCCACTGACTGCTTAGAATTCAGTCGATAAAGGTGGAATGGGTCAAACGCACTTTCCAGTGAGCTCTGCCATGGCGCTCTCTTCTCCAGGGCCATTTTTCTTCTCTCTTGTTTTGACAGCAGCATGGTACACAAATGCATTTGAACGCTGCTCTCAGACTAGAGAATCAGGCAGCAATCCTAGAAGTCCTTCTGTAGAAGAGAATTACAACTTGTCCCTGAAAGTCCTCTTTAAGAGAAGTTGTTCTTAGTGGCACACATTGATCCTACTAAACTCAATAGGATTCATATCCAAACAAATAAGAACAGGATTTAGTCATCTTTCTATTAGATCTGTTAATTAAATGTCACTGCCTTTATTAGCTATCTGTTAAGTAGAATATCTAATATACTTTATTGCTAAATATAAGTAAATACATTGGCATTGACCTGCCATGCCAGAATTTATGATTTCATTCTAAATCAATTACCCATTACTAGCTATTCAAAACCTTAGGACTGTGAGTGCCACACTTGGCAAGAGCTGGGAAACTGTCCCGTGTCCGAGCGGAGCCTCCTCGTCTGATGGCAGCTGAAGGTCACATCCACCATGCGAACTGCAAACCACTACTGCAGATCTGGGGAAATGGTATCCTGGCTTTGACCTCTGACATGAACACCATATGCATTAATGTATTAATGATCTCTGGGAGAGATTAATTAGCTCAATAAAGAGCACATTCTGGTCTCATCTAGTTTTTGGATTTGCTAAAATATTGTTAAGGTACAGGATAAACTCAATTAATAAAATGCTTTAATACCCAAACTGTTACTTATTCACATTCACATTTATCCATTGTCCTTGGACAGGCGACTAAATCAGACAAAAAGTTTGTCACTTCAAAAATGTCTTAGAAACAGCACAGGCTGCTCAAACTAGATTTCGAGGCACCTCAGCAGGGGACCAGCGGAAGGTGGCACCCCAGTTAATGAAGCTGTTTCCAAACCTTCACAAGATTTTCTGAGCAGAAATTAAGTCCCAGGCGGATACAAATGATCACATCCGAGCTGCGGAAGGGCAAACCGAGGCTGGAGACAGTGCTGGGCCAGCCCTGGGGACACAATGCCGGGCGGCCAGCGAGGCTGTGCAAGCAGCAGCAGATGTTGACAGCTGGGCTAAACCCATCCCTAAATCCTCCCCTGCTCAGGCAAGGCCAGGATGGAGCTACAAGGTTTTAGCTGGGTTTCATTGTCCTGCTCCACATTCTCCTGGCTGTGTCACGGCCTGGACATGAGCTGCGTAACAGGGCAAGTCTTAGGTCTGCCAAGAAAGG